GCCACCTCGCCCCCACCCCCCCCCCAGCTTGTGATAGCCCGTGTGGCTGTGAACCCCATTTTGGTGATCCTGACTCATGCAAACCAGTGCTCCTGACTCCGCTGGGAAAAGCATTACTCACGTGAGCCTGTTTGCAGGATCAGGGCTCTAATTATGGGGTTTGACCATCTTGTAGCGTGGGAACCGGAGCCATTAGCCCCTAAACCTCCAGATCATTCCCAATACATTAATGTTTCTAATTAGTTAAGCCTGATGCCTTTTTCTCTCCATAATGACAGCGGCGCTAGTACTTACTCGTGTTCGCTCTGCGTGCCGGTACTTCATTATATAATGATACAGTATGTGTTGTAATACCTATTCCCAACTGACAGTGGGTTTTTTGCATATGCCTCATCCAGAACTGATTAGGCAATGGAGAAGACAGGCTAGTGCAAATAAATGTTTGGGTTGCATCCTTTCTAATTAGCTGGGACGCTGTCAGTGCAAGGGGGGGCAGGATTAGGGCCAGGTGAGGACCCAGAGCTGGTGGGTCAGTTGAAGGTTGCTGTGGGATGAAAACCCATTGCCTGTTTTCGTGCTCCTTTACGGGATGAGCTGCCCCTTCCGTGGGCTGTGTTTCATTCCCAGTCCCTTCTTCCCTTCCTTCCAGGGAAACCATCTCCGTGGCAACCTCAAACCTCCAGGCTCTGCCTCGGAGCTGCTCGCCCATTGCCAGGACCGGGTGGGTAAGTGCCTGGGCAGGGCTGGCCATGGTGGCCCGGGCCACCGGGAGCGTTGGGCTGCTGCAGGCACCTCGGGGCAGCCCGGGGAGGCGAGGGCTGGCGCTGGGCTTGGCAGGGCTGTGGGTATCTAAACCTCAGACCCCAGCTCCCCTCGTCCTCGGGGTTTGGCTTGTGCTTTGTACGGACTTAAAAATGGGTGGCCACAGCTGTCCTGGTGCGGGAAGGGCTCTGCCCTGGCTCTGGAGGGGTGCTTGGGTTCAAGGTGAACCCTTCGGCTGTTCCCCGGCAGATGCTCTGCCTGGGGTCAGGGATGTGTCGGTCAGTGTTGTGGCTGGTCGTGCGTCCATCGGTAATGGTCTTGGTTAGGCCATGACCAAGCCTGATACCAATTTTTCATCTTTTCCATCACGTTAGAGTCCCAGGGAGAGCCACGGGGACGCTGTCCCCTCTCAGTGCTGCCTGGGCTTGGAGCGCAGCGTCGCAGCGATCACCACGGAGGTGATCGTCGCTGCGCTGGGCTGCCCAGCTTGTGAGGTCGTACGGGCACGTCCCTGGTGCTGTGCAGGAGGGTGGCGATGCGCCTTCCTTGTAGGTGGGCAGAAATGGGTCCCCTAAGATGTGGGGTCTTGCTGCGAGCCCATTGGGGGCTCGGTGTTTCTTGGCACGGGGCAGCAGCGGGGAGCGCAGTTCACTTCTGGCATAACTGAGATGAATGATGTGGAAGTTGGGGGGGAAAAAAAAAAAAAAAAAGATGTGTGAGGGTGGGTGTGCTTTGCCTGGAGCTGGTTCCCTGGGGGGCTGAGCCAGAGTACGGTGCTGGGGATGCTGTGGCTGCTAGCAGGTGCTGGGGGGACAGTGCTGGCTCACAGCTCTGCCCGTGGCACTGACCCTCTCTGGCCCGTGGTCCCCGCAGGGCAGGATGAAGCTGCTGGGTCCTGTGTTGCTGGCTGCCAGCCTGCTTGGCGCTGCTGCCCGGGAGGAGCAGCCCTCCTGGGGGGCTGAGCCAGAGTACGGTGCTGGGGATGCTGTGGCTGCTAGCAGGTGCTGGGGGGACAGTGCTGGCTCACAGCTCTGCCCGTGGCACTGACCCTCTCTGGCCCGTGGTCCCCGCAGGGCAGGATGAAGCTGCTGGGTCCTGTGTTGCTGGCTGCCAGCCTGCTTGGCGCTGCTGCCCGGGAGGAGCAGCCCTCCTGGCCAGACGATCCCTCGCAGACCTGCTTCTTCCAGCCGCTCAGCAGCGTGGACGGCGAGTTCTGCAGGTGAGTGACTCCCTGTCGTCGTCTCTCCAAACTGCACCAGCCCTGGGCACCCAGTCATGCGCTGCCCTTGCATGTCATCTGCTGGGACAGTTAATTCCAGTATCCCCTTTGCCAGGACTATAAATATTGGTTGCTTTCTTCCTTTGGCCAGGAATCTGGGCCAGAGCGAAGCAGAGCAGTGCCTGCTGCACTGTGCAGCTCTTGTTTTATGCAAGCTGAGTTCTTAGTGTCTCCGGTCATCTCAAGTTGTTCCTTGGTCCATTTTGCGGAGGCTTTTAGAGCAGCTTACAGCATCAGAGATGACAAATGTTTTTTGCAGAAAGTTTCAGAGGAAGGAGGCCACTTTTGGGGAAGGAAGTGCTGGAACAGGTCATCCCACAGACCTCAAAGCCCATCCTGCAGAGATGTTAGTGCTTGAGGTGTGGGCATGGGAAGAGGAGGAAGCCCGGGGAGCTTCTCCTGGAGCTGCAAACAGGCAGTTTGCTGCTCTGCCAGCCGGGCCCCCCCACTGAAAAGCCCCCGAATGCACCCCTTTATCAAGTGTTTTGATACCCAAGGTCTCTGGCTCAAGCGCCTGTTGCCCGTGGGTTGCTGTGGATGGGAGGCAGGGCTGGGCGAGCAGCAGCACGCGTGTGCCCCGTGCCTTTGGGGGGTTCCTAATATCCCACATTCCTGCATCAAACCCATCCTTTCCGCTCCTTTTCAGTTAGCCAAAGCGCTCTCCAAATACGAGCAACTTAAGCTTCTAGATGAAGGCAAGCAGAGACTTCACTTAGCCCCGGCTTCCTCCCACAAACCATGAGTAAAAGCACCTTGCTTTGAGCTCTCGGCCTCCTTTGTGGTAGCCCCGTGCCGCTGTGGGCGTTTGCTCAGCAGCCTCTGGGGCTGCGGGGTTCAAGGGCCCCCCCTGCGAGGGTCGCGTCGGTGGCAGCTAATCTCCAGGGTGGCCTTGAGACTTGCTATCCACACGCCACCGTGACCCGCCAGCTCGCTCCGGCGGCCCCTTTCTCCGTTAGATAACGCAGAAGGGGAAAGCGCTTCATGCAGAAGTCGGAGCTGGAGATATCTGCCCTGTTACTGCGCTATCAGCGCTCCCAACACAGAGGAGGCTTGGCCCCGCTTTTGCAGCGCAAGTGGGAGGAGGGCTGCGAGTTCAAACAGCTCATCTGAGGCCAAGGGGAAGCGAGGGGAGCTTTGCTCTCCCGCTCTCCATCTTCAAGCCTTAGATTAACCCGTATGGGCCGTGATTTTTAAAGGCTACGGAAAATACTGGGAACAGTCTAAGGTGTGCTGAGCCATGATGAGTGTTTCGAGTCTTGCTGCTGCTTGGGGAGAGGGAGCAGACCCCACGGTCTGCACAGGAGGGGTGCTTATCCTGGTGCAGAAAGCGCCCAGCACCTTTGGTGACAGCAGGGTGGGTCCTGCAGCCCCCACCCAGCATTGCAAGCTCAAGCCCGGCTGGGAAGTGGCACTAATCCCCATCCCCTGCATGGTGTGGCCTCACCCTACGTGTTCTTCTTTCACCCTTTTCTCCCCAGAGGGGATTTAGAAATCATCTACCCAGAGCTGGGTGACGTGGGCTGCACGTACATCCCCAGGTGCCACCAGTACCGGCGGCGGATCAGCAGGGAGTGGAGCAGCCCCCGTGTTCGGTACCCCCAGGCTGAGAAGGTGAGTCCAGAGTCGGCGTCACACGCAGGCAGCTGCCCTTGCTCCGTGTCCCTGCGTTTTAATTAAGGTGTAGCCAGACCGTGGGGGAGGGAGCCGCTGGAAAAAGATCGCGTACACACGTGCGCGCTTGTGCTTTGAGCCTGGCCGTGGCACCCTGGCCGGGAGCGGGGCCAGGCAGGGACACCCAGCGCCTGTACTTTGGGTGCTGGGGAGGGCCCAGGAGCTGTCCCCCCCGTGCCGTGCGTGGCTGCGCCGCTGTCCCACGGCCAAAGCGCTGTCGGCTGCTCGGGGTGTGCTTGTGAAACTTGTGCCTGAAATCGGGGCGACTCTCGGCTTTGTCCTGTGCTTTCCCCATTGCTTCAGGGTCTTGGGTTGAGGCTGAGCTGTGGGGAAATGTAAACTAATTTTTTTTTTTTGTTTGGCTACAGTGTAGCCTATTTTGTTTGTTTGTTTGCTACAGTGTAGCCTTTTTTGTTTGTTTGTTCGCTACAGTGTAGCCTTTTTTTTTTGCTAGCATAGAATTTTTTTTATTTTTTT